CACAACGTTGCTAAACACGAGTAGACAGCATAGTTCAAGTGGACAGACACGATTCCGAAGAGCACAAAGCTGAGTATTAAGTTGTGGCAAGTAATAGAAGAGCTCTAAATCTTTTTTTTTTCCTTAAAATGTCGACACATATTTTCAAAACCAGTGACAGCTAAGAAGGACCAAGGTGTTCATTTACGCTATGGCTAAAGAATTGGTTTGTGGTTCGCTCTGTGTGTTTGTGTGTGTAGCCTTTACGGCCTTGACTGTAAACAGTGTTACCATGACAACATACCGCAAGAAGTCCTTTCTAGTTGTACAACAATGCCTTGAAGAAAGAGTGAAGAGGGTTCCCGGCAGACACGCAAATAAATAAAACATCTTTTTGACATGCGCCTCAGCATTTGCACTTTTGGTCAAGCTAACAATTTTCAGGTGTATGTCCGAGTTTCTGAATAAATAATCACATAAAAACAACGGTCCTACACAAGCAATAATAGCAATAGAGCGAATGATACTGCGACTAAAGTGGCCATTTTTACAGCGGGAGTGTTAGTAAGTTTTTATTTAGGAGAACATGCGCTCCTCGACCGGCTCTAGAAAACAACAACGAGCCACCAACCAGCCAGCCGGCTTCCCTTTTCATCTATTTTACAATATTTGTGGCTTGATTCAGTGCACAACGTTGGTGAACAAAACAAGCAAGGCATCTGTGTCGTCGTCCGTAAAAATCCTGCATGGCGAGCATGCGCTGTGATATGTGTGATCAACACAACACGGAGGATCAGTGGCATGGCAGGAGTGTTAGAAAATGTTATCTAGTGAGTAACTTAGTCCTCACGTCCTTGTTAGTATGGTGAAATTAGCATTCTGATGCTTCATGGGTGTTATGAGGACAGTTTGGGGTTACGCGGGTTGGCTTTACGTCGAAGAAACTGCTTGGAATCGGGTCTCACGTGATGGACACGTACATAGTGCAGTGTGGTGGAGGGGGCATTGTGGTTTGGGAGTGCATTGCTCACTCAGGGCTTGGACAAAAAAAAAAACAAACAAGTTTGTCAATAAATTTTTTCAGATCTGAAGACCATCTTTCTGTTTGAGCATTTCTTGTATTTCCTTGATATCCATCTCAAGTTCTTTGTTCTCACAAGTAAGACATTTCACTGCACTAGTAAAACGATTGTCTTACGAGTAATATTTTTTTCCACAACTACTGCCACTTTTGGATTCCTAATATGTAATTAAAACATACTAGTAAAGCACAATGCTGCCTTACTGGGCCAAACTGTTGTTTGTCATGCACAAGTAGTTTTCTTAAGGTTTAGATGTTGAATAAATGTTCTGATAACTTCATGGAAAGCTGCTCAAGTTTTTATTCAATCGGTACTAGTATGCTCTATCCTCACTAGTCAGACAAAATTAGGCAAACTAGTAGGACACAGACGTTACTAGTGAGGCAAAACGGTGCACTAGTTGACTACTAGTATTAATGACTTTCGAGTCCTTACCTAGTGCATCACAGTAGTTTACTAGTAAGGTGAAGCTGCATACTAGTAGGCCAAAAGTGGCACTAGTAGACAGGAATTTCTTTTTTTTGTGGAAAACCAATTGAGCATTTATTTGATATCTTTCATAATGAGGATACTAGCGTGTGGCACATGCTTACTAGCTGTTCAGAGTAATATTAATAAAGTAGTTCAGTAGATTACGAAAAATGTTTCATTGTTTCCAAGTAGGTCAAACATGACAGTACTAGTGGAAAAAAACCCAACAACATTAGTAAAACAGTCATTCTATTAGTGCACTAAATTGTCTTCATAGTGATGTTAAAATGTGTACTAGTACATGGACCATACCCCGAATAGCAAGGATGCAGAATAAATGACAAATGGCTTTCCATAGTGCAGCCTCATTACACACTTATTGACGCCTCCTGCTGTGTTGTGTTAATATGCTGCAAAAACCTGAAGTGTGAAGTTTGTGACAATTCGTAAGATCCTGTCTCTACTTCCTTAAAATACAACATAGAAGTTAAGAAATAAGCAGCCATCTTAGAACTTCTCTCTTGCAGTACAAAAAAAAAAAAACAAAAAAACTTGTGGAGTCACCTAAACAATCCATCGCGTCGTTTTACGTGACAACAATGACAAAAAAAAAAAAGTCACAGCACGGAAATTATGAGTTTGTGCGATAACCCAAAAAGCGGTTAGCTAAGTCAGTCTGCGCTTCTATGTATATACTTTAAATGCCATGCAAGTCATCAAACTGAGAAATGCCTATGGGCTCACGCATCCCTCGGATTTCAACGTGGACTCTCTGTTTGGCTTCAGTAACGCACATCCACGCGCTAACTCTCCAGTGTTTGTTCCCCGGGTGAGAGACTGAGAGACAAGCTGTTGTTGTTGTTGGTGGTGGTGGTGGTGGTGGGGGGAGGGTTGGGGGTGAGACAGGCTTGATGGGCTGGATTCGAGTGTCATGTACTAGCACGAGCAGCTGCTCTCGGTGACAGTCATCTCTGGCTGCTTCTCCAGTTTGATGTCGATCACTGAAGGGAGTTGAAGTTAAGCAACGCCGGCCATGAGTTTGCAAATTATTAGCTTCTCTTTTTTTTTTTTTTAACAGACATTAGGTTATAACAGGTGTTCTCAAACATTTTGGGTCAAAGGAGAACATTTTCCAAGGACTCGCTCATATTCCTCATGTTAATTCAATTTAATTATCATGTGTACGCCGAAGTGCCATTGGAATGAAAATGTTGCCTAATTCCGGAAAAAAAAAAAAAGTGACAGTGACATTCTTTTTTTTTTTTTTTTAGTAGAACACAATTGAGTCTTTTGTCAATATAAAATGTAATCTTACAAGGCTACAGTTGTATGTCGTAATATATTAAGGTGACAATTTTGCATAGAAGGAAAGTCTTATTTTTACATTTCATAAATACAAAAGAACATTTAGAGAGAGGCCCTTAATAGTCCTTACAAGCAATTAAAAATAACTACCATATGTATTTATTGCTGTAAGCACACGACATCATTTACTGCTAACTATTTTGGGGACCGCCAAGGTACAGCTCAGACGCCAGTTTTGAGAACCAATGCCACTTTTGAAGGATACTGTCTTCTTTGCTTTTCTCCGCTGTGCTATCCATTCCAGGTAACGCGGCCGCAACGCGACGGAACAGCTGCGAAACAAAAGAGATGAGGATTAGCCAAGAATGTGATGCCTCAGCATGCAGACAAATTGGAAAAATACATCAGCATCAGTCACAATTTGAAACAAAAACCTTAAAATTTTAGACACATTTTGGCAGGCAATGCGTTAGAGATTACAGAGTTCTGTTTGCTGGGCGGAGGCATTATCTAAATCTATGCGGAGGTCGGTCTCACTGATGAAGCTCCAAAAAGCAATGATTGAATTCATATTTTTTAAGGGGAAAAAAATATGTTATAAAAGAATGACTATTGAAACTGGTTGGGTGGAGTAAGTCATTATGAAACTAAAGTTGTAATTATTTGAAGAAAATAAGACAATCTTTACCAAAACACATTTTGTTGAAATGAACCATGAAAACCGGACACGGGTGAAGTCGGATATTTCCGTCGGCATATTATTCAAGTCAAGTTTAGCAAAGGAAGAAAGTCACATTTTAAAGAGCACATTTCAATCCTTATAACAATACTTACTGTATCAACGAAATAATATATTTTATATTCTAACACCGCCCCCAAATAAAGTTTTGTACAAAAAAAAAAGACACTATTTCTATACTAATACACTTTTGCTCTCCTTTATTCTTGCCTGCATATCAGATTTGTGTCATGATACCTAATCATATTCGATCTTTGAATTGTCCCGTAGCAAAAGTATTGGGGAATAATTGGTTTATCTCGCAGTATCGGTCACATCAATGCCCATATGCAGTTGACATTTATTTGTGTATGTATTAATTTATTTGATTATTTATTTATTTTTTCAAATGATTCTTCTTGCAAATTATTTTTCGGATGCCAACCTACGGCCCGCAATCCCCCGTTGGTGCAGTGACTCCATTTTAAGTAACCTTTGACTGAGAAGACAACAAAGCCAACAGCAGTGATTTGGTGTCGATCACAAAGAGAGTGAGTGAAAAAGGGAGTCAAAAGAGGAAAGTCGGAAGCTGGAGGGCAGAAATCAGCATAGTTAGTGAGTAGCCAGAGAAAGAGTCATCTCTACCTGTTTGACATTGTAGCCAGTCTTTGCGCTGGTTTCAATGAACATGACATTCAGTTCCTTAGCTCTGTGCTCGCCCTCCTCCGTGGTGATCTGTCTGCTCGGGTGGAGGCCATGCGGACCGAGAGGTGGGTACGGATAGGGAGAAACATTGCAAAAGAAGACAGGCCCGAAAGGAGAGGAAGGAAAGACAAGAACGCTTGCTGAGTCTTTGTTTTGACAGGGAAGAGAGGTTAGTTTTGGTTATAACAGACACAGAAAGCGAGGGCGAAGACCAGGCTATGCTGGCTAGCAGGAAAAATGACTCATGGCATTGATTAAGTTGTGATCCGAAGAATGACAACACGGAGGAGTCACTCTCCCGTGAAAATGAAAGGACAACATGGCCGCTTCGCCAGCCGCCACCAACCTGTTTGACGTTATAGCCAGCCTTGGCGCTGGTCTCTATGTACATCACATTGAGCTCTCGAGCTTTCCTCTCTGCCGCCTCAACAGAGACTTGCCTGCCACCGGTCCCGGGAAAAGTGGTGGTGGTGGGGTGTAGGAAGGTGGTGGGTGGGGAGAAGACAAGGTGGAGAATCCCAAAAAACACATGCAAACACATACACACACACACATACGCAGAAATGAAATCAAATCAAAATGACAGAATGAAACTGAGGAACATAACTCAAATCTGAGGCAAAGAAAAAGACAGTGAAGCCCCGTTTAGCGCTGGGGGAGGGACTTGGGGAGGGGGGTATGTTACAGGCCTGCTCACCATAGGTAAACATTTGCGATATGGAGAAACCATTAAAAGAGAAAAAGCTTTCTTACTAATTTTCACACTGCACTTAGCATTCACAAAAGTACGGAATCATACGCAAAGCGGCAAATCATAAAGACAAACAAAAAGATGAATGAGGTACACTGTCACGGGGGGAAATGTGGGATTCCAGGCTGTGGCAGAGGGTTTACAAAAACAAACTACAGTGGAACAGCTGGGACCTTGTGAGGTTTTGCTAAAACAAGAATTCTACAATTATTTTGACGCAACTTCGTGGGAGACGAGTAGTCCCTTCCTCTACTGTCTTCAAGTCTGAACAAAACACAAGTCGACCAACATCCCGGAACAGAGTGTGCTTGATTCCACCGTATTTGACCCAATTGTGTCAAATAATAATTAAGATCAACACTCGAATGTGACATCACTGACATCCACACATTCAAAACAAGGACTCACCTTTTGTCCGCCAGGTCTGTTTTGTTCCCAACGAGCATGATAATGACATCACTTCCTCTCTCCGTCCGGACATCATCGATCCACTTTGAGGTTTGTTGGAAGGAGTTGAGATCTGAAAGTCAAAGGAAATGACAGACATCAGCGCACACATACGAGCTACACGTGGAGCTGTCAATATTTTCTAGCTACAGTAAAGCGAGTATTAGTTTTGTGTCAGTCAGCAAAAGTATTAAGAGTTGGAAAATGGAAAGGTCGCTTTGACAACTTCTGAGCAATACTTACACCCAGTGGACACAGCATTAGGTACACCGGCAACATCTACCCGAGAGCTGTCTGTGAGAGGTGCTCATTTAACAATATGTCCACGAATGTGGCTGTTGTTTTCATTTGTGGAGAACTGCAATAGTTCGGAATATTTTCTGTGACCTGATTTCGACGCACAAAATAAGCAGAATGTTAAATGGATCTGACAGTAAGAAAAAGCAGCATTATGAAGCAGTTTCCAGAATTGTCGATACAGCTCTCGAATCGGATCCCACCAAAGTAGGGTACACACATCCCAACAATCAGGCAAAGTTTTAACCACCTTTGTGATCAAAGGCCCGATTATTGGATTTGCTCAGGTAACTGTCAGAGGGCCAACAATAAATCTGATTACTATGTGTGTGGTCAGCAGAGATTTGGGCCGGAAAATGTGACCTTATATCAGGCGCCGCATGAATATACTATAGTGCCCTACAATTATATTTATTGTATAATTTTATTTTTAATTGAACCACAAAAGCACGGCGTAATTGTCTAAGAGGAGGATACACTGTATATATACGATATAGTATGTACTGTATTTTACATCTTAAGTTGACTTGAGTCTCGCTGGCTTTGCAATTGCAGAAACTTATCTGTGACGTTTGGACACCCTTAGCCCGGCAATTCAAATTATGAATTGCGGCAAAACTGCTGGCCAACAGACTGCATCTTATGGACACTCGTCGCCAAACCACGTGCACTGCGAGATAGCTCAGTTTGTTTTGGCCAAGTCACCTTATAATATGTCCTCAAAGTCATTTGTAATGACAACTGCGTTTCGCCTGGCCTATTTTTTTCTTCTTTGTCTTTTTTCAGCAATACTGATCTTCTCTGGGAGTGTGCTGCCCCCACAGGTCAGTCTTGGGTCTGTCACATGGTAATTTGTGTGTGGTGGGCTGTGCTGGTCATCTGCAATACGCCACACACTATAATAGGAGTCAGAATTGACATTGTGATTTTTTTTCATCATCACGTGGTGGTCTCATATTTTTAAAAAAAAATCAATAAATATGTTAAAAACGGGTATGCATGTATCCCACTTTAGATTGCGCAGGTGTACCTAATGTAACTCAAATGTCTCTCGGCACCTAAAACGGAATGTTCGTGAACAGCCCTGACTCACTGGTGATGTCATACACAACCACAGCAATGGTAGAGTCGCGGATGTAGCTGGGAATTAGGCTACGAAAGCGCTCCTGTCCAGCAGTGTCCCAAAGCTGGAGTCGGACCTGCGGGGTTGGAACGGTCGGGGAGGGAGAATGGAGATAAAGAGGGGAGGGAAAGCAGAATAAGAAAGGGGGAGCTAGGAATAGAAGACTAACTGCAAGCCAGGCTGTTTTTAATGAAGGAATGGCGAATGGGGGAGGAGGAAACCATTGAAATGATGAAGTGGAGGTGAGCAGCCTAATGCAAGGAAAAAAAAAAAAAAGAGACCCCGCTGAATCATTCTTGAGTCACATCCCATTCAGAGGATCTGAACCCACAAAGAGACATCGGAAGAAACGTTGAGTGATTCATTCCAACAGCCTCTTATATTTAATACAGCCTCTCATAAACAGCATCTAAGGAGCGTGGACACCCCCCTGGGCACTGCTGGTGAAACGCTTTGCAGCCATGCTGGGAGACGCTCTCACGGTGGTGTCCAGTGGGGTTTCCACACCACGTTACGCTCTTGCACCGTATGCCCTTGCACACGGTACCGTACAAGCAGAGGACAGGGAGGCGAGGCAAGGCAAGGCCGTGATACCTACTGGCTATGTCATAAACCACAACTGCGGCGGCTGAGTCTCGGATGTAACTCGGGATGAGGCTGCGGAAACGCTCTTGTCCCGCCGTGTCCCAGAGCTGCAGCCGAATCTTTGGCCGCCCGTGACGCATATGCGCACGCGTGAGGAACCGGTGGGATTTCGTGACCCAGACAGAGGATGGAAGGAGAACAAAAAAAAAACAAAACAAAAAAAAAAGGGAACTGAAAATATGATCACGTCTGGCAAAATGAATGATGACACGATAGGATTGGGTCCAAAAAAAAAAAAAAATGTGAAAGGGCGATCATGTGGAAATGGTGAGTGCTATACAAAGCATGCTTTAAGCATTCTAACGAGGTTCGATAATCCTGTTGTGGAAATGACATAGGGAAGATAATATGGCTTACCGTACGATCTTCGAGGTACATGGTTTTTGACAAAAAGTCAATGCCAATTGTTGCCTGCAAAACAATCACTGCATCAAAACCTTGACATCAGCAACACATGATATAAACAGCAGAAGCATTACAGGATGCATCAGTCTTCAAAAAAAAAAAAAGATTTTTCATTGTCCAATTTTACGCTCTGTTCCAAAATACCAAATTTAAAAACAGGCTACAAGGAAGAGCCTGATTTTAATTGACAGTGTTTACGTGACACTGAGGTTTGGTCAAGATCACAAGCAAAGATGTTAGCTTAGCAACCATTACGATCAGTCCACGGAGACATAATTGCCCCAAGAGGATAAACTAAGTTTTCTGACTCAGAATTCCTGCGTAATATACACATATAACAAGAATGAATATTGGCCCCAAGTCTACTAGTCCATTTGTGGTAGAGTCACACGTTCTTGATATGATACATAACTGTCCATATTGTAAGAAGGTTGATGGATGGATTTTCTTGATGTTCCTGACTGATTGTAACACGCCTAACCTTGAGAGAAGTAAACATGAAATCAATAAACTAACCGAAGGTTGTGACTATAACTTCCAGGTCGTGCAAATATGACCAATTAAATATAAAATTGAATTCAGCCCTGTGGCTCATTTTTTTTTCATATTTTTGATCTGGCCTCAAGATTAATTCTGAAAAAGCTGACATTTTTGTTTGAGATGAATAAAAGAACGAACACAACGCTCAGTGTTTTCAGCCCACCTGTGCCCCCGAGGTACAGAAGATGCAAGGATGGATAAACAAAACAATCAATTTCTTTTCATATTTTTCACTTGCAAACTGAAAACAACAAATAATATACTGATCAATAATTGTAACACATGCAATCAGCAGCCCTTTGCTTCTGCAGCTCAGCTCCATTGAGACACCTTTTATACCGCCTGTAAAAGCTATTTATGAGTCGCCGTCCGGAATAAACGGCACGTCTATTCGGCAATCGTTCGCCGGCGGAGGTCGCATCAGCATTTATTGGCTTTTTTCTGTTAAATTCTGAAAGAATGAGCTGCCTCTAAACGGGGTGTCAAGGCAAGAAGAATGCGAGACGTGAAGAAGACTAGACAAGAAGTTAAGAGACTCCACTATTGGTTTAACATTTACAGCGCTTAACATTACCTTAAACTTGTGCGACAATGTGTTCTCGCAATTCATCTGGAACTGATTATTTCCTTCCAAACTATCCGTTATTTCCGATGGGAACATGGATCAAATTCAGATTATCTTCCGCTGCACTCTGCCATCTCTTGTATTTACCTGATAGGTGTTGTCAAAGCTGTCATACATGAACCTGGTGATGAGCGAGGTCTTTCCCACTGCAACAAAGACGCAAGAGTTCAAGCTTCTTCTTTGCAATTATGAAGAAACAAGCACCAAACGTTGTCATGCATAGTTGGGAAATCAGCACCACGGTGAGTAAAAAGCACACGACACAGTTGGCAAAATCAAGGCCTGTGAGACGGATCCAGCTCTCGAGTAATCAGCGGTCCACGAATTTTTGGGTTGTTGTCCTTGGGTTGTCGCTGTGTGCTATTAAAATTGGTTTGATAAACTGCAATCTTTGTGTAAGATAAATATGCAAATAACACAGAAATTAGGAAGGGGGCAAATACTTTTTCACAACACCATAGATGTCGGTTTTTGATGCAGGGTCGTCTGAGGGATTGAAGGTTATGGGCATTCAATGTTGTTTTTCGGCCTAGCCGCTTACGTGCAGTGATTTTTCCAGATTCTCTGAAACTTTTGACAATATTATGGATCGTAGATGATGAAATCCCTGAATTCCTTGAAATTATACGTTGAGACACATTGTCCCTCAACAAAGATGTGAACCTCACCCCATTTTAGGCCCAAATAAAGCATTAGTGTAAAGGTTTTTATGAGCGAGACAAACAAAAATGCAATTGTCTTACTAGTGAAGATAAAGAGCATGCTTGTACATGGCTGTCAAGAATGTTGAATAAATGCTCCAACGGCTATTTATTTGATTTTCTTTGAGAGTGAGGCTTTGGGTTGAGACATGCCAACTAGTAGGGCCTAGTAATGTTACTAGTACAGCATTGTAATATCCCTTGATAATTAATCAAGTGCTCTAACAGCTTACTGTGAAGCCAACTGACAACATACAATGGCATACTAGTAGGACAACTACAAATTACTAGTGAATCAAAACTGTTGACAACTGGATGCTCTTAGACCTACTAGTGACATTCTACAAGTTAACATCTAACACTTGACTAGTAGTATGCAGACAAGTATGCAACTAGTGCACAGGCAGGCTCAATTAACAACAATTAAAAGTGCAGTAGCAGCAACTGTCTTCTACTAGTGACATTTTTTTCAAATACTCCATGACATTTCTGTGCCCTAGTGGAACGATCAGGGCACAATTGTAGAAAGATGTTACAGGTGAAGAAAATGTGTGCGATAGTTGACACCTGTGCACTACTAGTATTGCTAGCTAATACTACTCATGAAGCACTGGATGTGCACTAGTAGAATTGTATGTCATTAGTGGTACTAGTGACAATGCAGTTGCCAACTAGTTCACAGAGTTGCCAAGTTGGTAACATGTACTACAGTAGTCTGCCCAAGTTGTTGTATTAGGGTGCAGATATTGGCAGTAGTGCACATAAAATTCCACTAATACACAGTGGATCTACTACTGGGTGGGTGAGGAAAAATATCACCCGATCACAAGTACCTTAAAACGGATATATTGAGTAAATGTTCAAAAGGCTTATTTAGTAAACATCCTTGATATGGTGGCTACTAGTGCGTGGCATGCCTACTAGTTGGACCTATTTGTGTTACTAGTGTAGTACAGTAGCTTACGAGTAAAATTAATTGTGTAGTAGTCATCCAAAAGTGGTACTAGTAGCGGAAACGTCGTCACTCACTGGTTTGAGTTTGACACATTCGCTATACTTATGCACTGAATGGTCTTACTAGTGTTATCAAAGAAGGTACTAGTACACGGACCTTAAACGAGATATCAAGGATTTTGAATTTACTCTCAATCGGCTTTTCAGTGGACACCGACGGGATTCACTGTTGTGAACTGTCGAGCTCACACGCTGAGTTGGCAATATGGGTGGAGCTACTAAAATGGACGGAAAAAAAAGATATCCAAATTGTAGCCAAATGACTTCAAAGCCCGATTGTTTTGTGTTCCAAGCCGGATACACAAACAAAGCGTATAAACACGTAAGAATCATCAATTGATTCTCGACTGCATTGTCTTGCGGCGTTCAATTGTCGAGGAAGGCCGGCCGGCTGATTCTAACCTCGGCTGGCCGACGTGGCTAAGTGAGGTCCAGCTGTGAAAAGGGAGCTAACTTCTTACGTGTCCTTGCTTCGATGCAATATTATCTCACAGTATTGCGGTTTAATATTACGGTGGGAGTTCTGTAGCTTGAGTGTCAATAAAAGAGAATTCCAGGCTTAAAACGTCCAGCTCGCTCGTTTAGCAGAAAGTCAACGGCTACTAGCTACTATTGGCTATCCATCCATCCATTATCTTTCACATTCACTGATGTCAAGGTGGAAAGGAATCACACACACACACACCAAGACGCTTAATGTCCTCTTCATTCATTTGAGGGTAAGTCAACATTTATAAATTCGTACCACTACTAGGTAATGTCATTTGAAATCATATTTGGCTCAAAGGTGAACGGCGACTCGGTAGCTATGAGTGTCCGATGACATCATCACAATTCGAGGTGGAAAAAAATGTCCACATACATTGCCGTCTTCTTTAAACCATAAAGCGCAAAAATTTAGAATTGTTGCCGTGCAAGACTACCTCTTATTTTTCTCTCATTAGGCCGCAAGCAAACTCGACCAGCTAGTTAGCCGGCTGCTAACAAGATTCTCCCCCACATCCCAGTTACCGATCTCCAACTCCGACAAACGGCGTCCAAACTCACCGCTCTGCTCGCCCAGGAAGACGAGCTTAAACTTCCGTAGAGGGTTGCCGAACTCCCCACCGCCGGTTGTGGTCGACATTTTGGCCCAAACAAAATACGAGGCAGCTAACTAGCCGGCTTTGGGTTGTGATGTGATGTCTAGACTGGAGAGAGGAGAGCAGTCTCAGCACAGCAGTTGATCGTCACCCGCTCACTACAACCCTCTGCTTTTTTTTCTTTTTTTTAGTTAATCTCCTTCATACGAACAAAAGTGAAACAGCGCAACCATGAGGCTTTGGAGAAAAATAAGCAGCAATTTCCTTCAAGTTGTAGCTGGCAGAATGCATGTGTTTGTTGGACCCCTATTGTAAACAGAACGTTGTCCCAGTGCTTAAAGTCACTGCGTGTAAATCATTGTTATGATATCATTAGCATTACTTTTAATCTTAATTCGTCCAAAAAGTTGAGACTGGAGCCTGGATGCTTTTGTTTTGCTATCTGGTAGTCAATTTGTTTACATTTGTATGGGTGTTATCGTTAGCTAGCTAGATCAATGACGGGAGTGTAACTGGCCCACAATAATATAATCAATAAGTATTTGAAAAAAAAATTGGCGAAACTGCAAGTGCTGAATCACACTTGTGCAAATGTCGACTGCGTGTCTAAGTTGTAATATCATTATTCACCACAAGATGGCAGACATCACTTAATTGTGTTTACTGCCTATACCACAGGAGTAGACCTAATAATTTTTTTGGAATGATATGCAGGACAAACATTACATCAATAATGACCATTTTGAGTGATGTTGGTGAAAAAAAATTGCACAAAATGAGTTCTTACGCTTAAATTTGGCTTGCTGCTCAGCAACTTCATGCCATCCTTGAATGGAATTTTTTATGCAAGAGAGGCCTTTGCACTGGCAAAAAAAATTACATTATGTGGTTATTTTGTTGACAGCTTCAAACCTTTTGTTACTGGCTTAGGCTCATGGATCTTTTAAACATGCATTGAGAAATGTACTATGGAAAATCTATAATATATTAAGAGCACATATTTTGCATGTATAATCATATTTTTGTGCTTATTTAGACTAAAGCCATACGCAGCATGTGTTCCCGCCAGTAGCACTGATGATCCAGCATTTACGTTGCCCATCGCTTAGATAGATAGATAGATAGATAGATAGATAGATAGATAGATAGATAGATAAATAGGGGAGCAAGGCTGCGTTCAAATTTTGCCAACAGTTTCATCACCGCAAACTCCTACTTTAAATATTTCACTTATTTTTACACTCGCATGGAAGTTAAAACCTCTTAAATAATGCTAATCTGCGCATCCAGCAAACCTCACGACAGCTCTTCGTACCTTGCATGAACCCTCCAATGACTAATTTTAACTATACGTTACGGAACCGTGGGGCGGAAGTACAGAACGGTTCACTCACTGACATTTTCATATATGGGCAGGTTAAAATTGACTTGGCTATTTAATTTTACGTTTGATTTGTGGACAGGGACTACATAGACCCAACTATTTATATACAAACAATCAAGTTTTCCCATAATATATTCCCTTTAGGAACAGTAGCAGTGTAAACAGAAAACAAGCAGCAAGGTAGGTACTGAGGAAACTTTTTTTTTTTAATTTCCTACAATCGACGCTGAAGAAAGACAGTCATATGCATTCATTCCCACGTTAACATTCACTCATCATACTTGCCTCTATACATTGTAGTGCTAAAGGGTATAGTCACAACAATTTGAAAGAAAATCTCACGTTCTACACTAGGAGACATTTTCAGAAATCAAAGCAACACCGAGCGGGTTTATTTCTGTCCAAAGCTATCAAATGTCACGCAGATGCTCTCACAGCAATACCTCTCGGAATATACAGTGTGTGCGCGCACAGGAAGTGAGGGCCCTGTTGTTTGTCCTTCACAGCCGTCTGCTTCCATTGTTGTTCTGCTGTTTATATCATGGCGACGTCTTATCCATCCATTGGCTCGATGGCGATGTCCGTTCTGTGATCACATGGGGATGTTCAGGCTTTCTGGAGTCCACATCAAGGTACTGTAATTGTTAATCTGGCTGTACATGAAATGTGTTCGAACAGCCCCTTGTGTTGTCATGTAGAGTTATTTATTTTGCTCTTTACAAATTGTACTCTTGAAGCTGCGGGTATTTAAACACAAGCGGTGCAGCAACACATGTAGACAGATTACATGAGAAAATTCGGACTATTTATCCTCCTAATGAAAAACGAGTACATTCACTGCATCTTCGCGAGTCACTTGTGAAACTTCTTTTGTGTCTCTATTATACTGCCCTTAGGTGGCCAAAGCACATATACCAGAAGGGGCTCAATGTGGGACTGGAACAGAAAAATAGCATTTCCATTCATTTTAATGGTGAAAGATGATTTGAGATGGAAGCATTTTGAGTTGCAAGGGTAGTCATGGATTGATTTAAACTTAGAGTATTAGTCAAGGCATGGACACTATTGGCAATTCAAAATATTTTTTAGGGTTGGTATCCATTATTCGTACGTTTTTTTTTTTTGGTTCCTCGTGGCAAGGCTTAATCCCCGACCAACATGAATGGCAGCGATTGACTGTATCTGCTATGCTCTGGTTAAACAAGTATGACAGAAATTCTGTTTATTACATAAACTTGATGGGCTAACGAGACTTACTTTTCTGCACTTGTATGACCGTCAACAATGGCAAATACTGTGCTCTCGATTACAAAACACTGTCTGCTTCCTTTAATGTTGAGACTGTGTGACCGTTTTTTTTTTTTGTGTTATAGAAGCAACAATATTACATTTATTTTTGGACCTGTATGATCGTTACAAACATGAGCTAGATGGATGGATACACTGAATGTTGAGCTGTTGTTGCACTGACTATAAACAGAACTGAAAATTGACACTGTAGCAGAATGCACTACACCTATGATGATGACCTCACCTGAACTAAAGAGGCCTTTAGTCCAATTGGCTGTGGTTCATAAAATACACAAACACACAAGAGAAAAGGAATCAAACAACCCATCGCGGTCATCACAATACAACATGGATGTGTTTGCCTTCAGCCCGGGTTAACTTACACTTCTGCCATATGCGACATTGGAGGGTAAAAACAAAACAAAACAAAAAAACAATTAATGAAATGTGATGTATATCGATTAAAAAAAAATGGTAAGAATGAAGCTTAGCTCACCTGCTGGCTTGGGGGACATCAGCGTCAACGGAAGGTCGACCGTGACGTCACTAGAAAACAAGTCAGGTAACATTAGTAAGAAGGCAGATGTAAATATTTTTGTTTAGAAGCGAAGCGGAGTTGCATGTACCTCGATGTAAGGCCACCCAGCAGGCTTTTGTGGAGACAAACAATAAAATGAATACTTGGTTTTCACAATGGGGCACAGCCTTAATCAATTGACATGACAAACGATGAAACCGTACCCTCCTCCAGACACCATCAGGTTGACTTTGACTTTGTATGACACGAGAATTCCCTGCATCTCCTTATTATCTTGACTCCTGTGGGAAGACGGAAATAGTTGACCTTTTACACCTTGAGGATTTGCTCTTAAGACCTGATAAGTGGATGACACAACACAGCGTTGTATCTCCGCCACCCAATAAGAGGATGAAAAGACTGTCCTGAGCTCAGCGTAAGCCCTCTGCTCAAAGCTCTTACAAGGTAGTGGAGGCCAGGTTTGTGTCCTCGTCTTTTAGCCTCCCGTCCACTGACAGTCCGCGCTTCTCTTTGTTGTTGGCCAGCAGCGGGGTCACTCGGAAGGTTTTCTCGAATGTGGAGTTCGCGTTAATTGTCTCCCTTTGGGTTAAAAAAAGTGCAATACAGTGTGGGAAGATAGAAACAATATTTTCCCTTTTTAGGCATAATAGATTGTGCGCACAAGCTTTACCCAAACTCCTCTGTGCAGACGGGCTTCGTGTAAGTGTCAGAGGAATACAGCACCACATTTGTCAGCTGCTCGACTAAAAGAAAACAAACCAAAACAAAACATACATTTATTAGCATTGCACCTGGGCTTTCTTGCTTTTCCTTCATGGATCACATTCAATTTTATTTAACCGTGATTTAGCCAGGTAAGGCAATCTAAAATCGATTATCCTTTGCGACCTTCCCGCAGAGTAATAAAACGCAAACATGAAAGCAAATTAAAATACGTATGCACTAAACTGTACGATGTGGTATAGTGAGATTTACATAGTACGTGACACGGTAGTACATGGTGAATAAAAAGGTACGGTGATCGTGTACGGTATCTAAACGATGATATTGGGATGAATGAAGTGGGCTTTATTATTTGTGACCGTGTCTTGTAGTCGTTTGCGGCAGAAAATAGAAAGGATCGACCAAAATTAGTGTGGACCTTGGAAACGAAGAGATTAATGAAACTGCTGGAGCGGTGATTGCCGGTGTTGGTATGCATGGTGAGTCGGTCTGGTCAATGTGTGTTTAGCCTGGACAAATTCCTTATGCTCACCTATGATTTGGATTTTCTTCACCACTTTTGTGGTTTCGTTGTTGATTTTTACGCTAACAGTGATGGGATCGCCGTGGTAATAGACCTGGAAAGAGGAACATGATCAGATTAATTTACACCCGACTGAATGTTACAATCAAAGTTATTTGCAGCCACCTCTTTGTCGAGGCAGGCTTCCATGTGAATGGGTTTGTCCGACATCATGAACTGCTTGGTGATGTCCGCCTTGGCTCCGGCGTTGTTTTTGGTTGGTGCAAACTGGATTTTTCGAATCATTAGGCGACAAGTGTCCCTAAGGCAGACATGTTTCTCGTGAACTTAACACGACACTGTCTTGATTGGGAAACACAGGGCACACGTACTTTTTCACGATGGTTTCGTCAGCGCTGTTTGCTTCGTTGGCGATGTACGCTTTGACCTCAAAGTCCACCCCGCAAGCCTGCAGAGGGAGGACATCGGAGTGAAGTTTCAAGGCGGGGGACATACTGGTGAAAATCAAGACATCAACTGTAGTACCTTGCCAGAATCATTCGGCCCAGGTTGTAAGGCAACTGAGCAGGGGAGGTTCGTTGGCATCTGAGACCGGGAGGAACAAGACATTTGCAAGATGATGAAGAAATGAAGTTGCGATCGTGAGCTGAGAAGAAAGTAAGACGCTCCCTCACCTGGAAGGCAAAGGGATACCCTTGCTCTCCGACTTTCTTCAGGAGGGATTCCTGCATCGGTGATTTTGTTGCATTGCCGTCTGTGGGCGGATACACCTGAACGCGATTTATCCAGATATCTTTCCTGCAGGACAGCCCGATCACGTCCAAATCCTCACTTCCGTAGCGGAAGGCACAAGCAAGGTATACGAATACTACAAAAGAGAGAGACGCAATCGAGAGCGCTGCTTCTGGCCAACTTTGCAAGTCAGACCGGTGATAATCAAGTACCTTTTTTCCCATCGAGTCCAGAGGGATCCACTTTAACAACTCCATCTGGGATTGAGAAAGGATCAACCGACATTAGGCTCCATGGAGACAAAATTACACAGTACGTGCGAGGAAAGGCTGAACTTTGCCACCCACCGACCACTTCCACCGAATCCACATTGTCCACAAAGTCTCTCTTCCCTAAGTACAAGGCAATCTGAGGGAAATGGAAAAGCAAGCATTTCAAAGTTTCTCCTCCACCAGGTCGCGAGACTTTAAGAGTTATTTTAAGGAGCTGGGAAAAAAAAAAAGCAATGGCACTCCTATCCCCAAGAGTGCTCCATAATAACTATCTGACAGAGGCCACTTACATGTCCGTTGCCGCTGGTCTTCTTGAAAACTCTGGAGCAGAGGGAAACAGACTCTCATTCTAAATCCACTTTTAGGAAGATCAATGCAGTCATCGCAATCATTTGGTCGGATATCATAATGCAGAGCTGTCCTATTTTAACCCTTTCATGCACCCTGTAACCTAATAACATGATAAGCTGTCCACTGTTGTAACCGCTGTCCCAGAAAGGGTTAATGAAAGTTAAACTGGTAGTTTTTAAAAAATGATTTGTCTATATCGCCCCTTCTATTAAATGACATAACCTTACAGGACAATCCTCCGTGCTCGTGTCAAGCACGAAGCAAAGACTTAATCCTCCGCGTTCTTCTCATCTGTTGTGTGCCCCGTATAATCGAGTTAAAAAGTTTTCCCGCTGTTTTGTAAACATGCCCTGCGAGATCAATCAAATTGCCACGATCCACTCTAATCAGGATTTATTCATGTACGAAAGGCGTTAGATAGGCCACACGGCGAAGGTGTTTTATCCGCGCGATCAAATCCGCAAGTTTCTGATTTGATTCCCCCATAATTCCAACGGTATCCACGAGTCAACATGTTGACTCACTTGGATGAAGCCGACTTGGTTTGTTTTCAGTCCTTTTGACAGAGACTCTTAGCATACCGGAAACCTACCAAGCATCATCACCACACATATTGCATAAATATGACAAAAGCCACAACTGCGCCATATCGAATCGAATCGGGTTCCCACTGAATTGAACCAAGTTCAATCGTGGCATTTTAAATTCGTTACATCCTTGAATCTTCTCGTATTGAATTGTGTTTCGTGGAGCGAGGCGCAGCATCTAGTTCCTTGAATTAAACAGTATCCATCCTTAAACTGGTTCAAATGTCTCAAAAAAATGCAATATATTATTCAAAACAGAATCATGACTATGTATGCAGGAGACAATTCTATTCTCAAAATACTTACTTTGACATGTTGAAGGTGAAAAAAAAATACTGTCTGCATGGAGGGGGGGGGAGAAAAACAGTCAATTCAAATATCAGTCTCTCTCCCCCACATCATGACAATTAATTGACCTAAGAAAATTAAATGAAGAAGAGAAAAACACCTCACTCACCACTGTCGGTCTTCTCCCTCTGTAGTGAGTCTGTTAACTGTGCGCCGTGTGAGTGTGTAGCTCGCTCCCTCCCCATCGCCTTTATAGTTTGACCTCTGACCTCCGTAGCCCTCTCGTCATCTTAAAACAGTGTTTGTAAGGAGGGGTTGTTTTCGACTCAATCTGATTAATTGATTACAACACGGCGGTTTTGGTGCTCGCGGGGTGTAAAAATAATTTCCGAGTTATGTGACTTCCAAAGAAAAAGCCCAGGGCCTTCCTTTTGGTGAAGAGCCACATCCTCTTCTTTAGATATGTTGGTTGCGCGGTTATTTTCTGCAGCCTAATTGCGCTGCTGAATTCCGTGGCACATAACTTAAATTATATTGTTAGTATTTCTCTATGGAGAAACAATTATAAAAACGGACGAAAAAAAAACCCCAACAACTCACAGGTCATGTATAGATGTAATTCTAATAATCGCAATTATGGATGAGTTTAAAAGTACTCCGAGAGCCTAATCTTCAAAGATTGTTTTGTGAATAGGATAGGCACTTCTTCAGAGTGGTCTTAGTTGGATTTGGTTGTGATGGCAGCCAAAGTGACAGATGGCTCCTTGACCGAGCCGCTGACAATCTGTGGCCGCATTAAACGCCGGTGCACAGCTGTTAAAATAATGAGACTCTGCAACTCGTGGAATTCCCTTTGCCAATTAGTGCCACAATCCATGGCGTTTGACGTTTATTACGGTGGAATCGAAAAGCCACAATGTAAATAAAACACACTTATGTTTAGGGTTGAAAGTCAGAATGTGATTTTTTTTTTTCTTGCTCATAATCTAACAAATTTTAAAATGTCATTTTTGTCGTTGGATCGCAGAAATGTATACCAGTGTACCTAGCACACACACTGTAATGGACTCTTTGTTAAATTTTATTTGATCAAGAAATCCGATGTCTAAAACACTTTTTTTTTAATGGACGCTAACCCTTTTGCAGTCCAACTACAATAATGACAAGATTGCTAACTCAATAGTGAACGTTGTTATCTTTGCGTACGCAGAATCTGCATTTGGTATTTCATTAGATTGTCGAGCTGATGCAATGTCTAGTGATGTCATCGTCGCGGTGGGTATCGCCAAGGCACACATTCGCCTCTTGTGATCCGCCCGAGCGTCGACTGTTCCACATGGCGCAAGGCCATTGGGGTAAATCTGTGGGTGGATCGGCGCCGGATTTTCACACTTCTTCGGGCCAAGTGTAATGGATTGATTAATGAGTGAGGTGGATTCTGTGGAAGATTTTGACACCTTGAGAGTCGAAGAGAATTAAAATGCTGGCCTCTTTTCAGCCGATATCCCGCGGCAAGGCTTGAAGAGCTGCTTAAAGTGATCTAGACGCAGTGGGCAATGTCATTTGAACTGTCGAACGGATAGACTTGACGATATATACGGTCTGAATCTTCAATCCAAGGGACACTTTGCGTTCAAGTGAAAAGCAGGAAGTATTTCACAAACCTGAAGGCAAACCATTCATTTTGGCTCCGAAATGTGGAACCTTTATGGAGCCTCGGAAAGCAAGAGATGCCTTCACTTTGCAGACATTATGCAAAGCAAATTTTTTGCCAGATAACAGCAGACAGGCCGTTACCTAAACTTAAAGTCAATCTTTTCCAAGTCTCGTCAGATATCTTGGGAAATCTGTTGCAATTTTTTTTTTTCAAAATAAAAGAATATTTGTGTTCCGGGGGGATGGATGAGTGTTATTCAACGGGTGTCTTTTTAAGACTATCCTTCCTGCTCTTTTACTTGAATTTGCTTTCCCTCGCTGTGCTTGCGCGAGGTCACACATGCAAGTCGACCTTTAATCCCCTTATGGTTAAGCTGGTGCTGTTTTAGGTTCACGCTTAATTTAGACGGTGAACTTTCCTGGGTGTTCCCAACGTATTTCAGCCATGTGGAATGACCTTGTTTTAGTAAGGACGGTCTTCAGCACGCCGAATTTAGGCGGTCATGTACCTTTTGTTACTATAACAGGAATGCATTCTATCCTAAGCTCAGCTATGTTTATGTTGCGTTTAAGAGTATACACAGAGAGACAATCGGGAGGTTTTTGTCACCCCTCTCCAACCAAGGATGTTTTAGGTCTTATGAGACTGTCCTAGAAGATTATCCTTACAACTGAGGTGTGTTTAGAGTGGATTTGTCCCAGTAACAGTGTCCAAAATGAGACAATCTCAAATATTAAACGTGTTCAATATTCGTGACCAAACATTTTTGTGCGTGGTCAAAATCGACACCTCTCAAGAAAAGATGCTCACTATCTTAATCTTGTACATCTCCAGTGTGTCTCGCAACAACGATTAGAACTGATATGGGTTCCGGATTTTGAGCGTGTCCTCAAGTCTGGAGTCTAGACGACGGAGTCTTTTCTAATGACCAGTTAGCGTAACACAATGAACATCGTTTGGATAAAACAATGTCTCATTTAAACCACAGAAATGTCGGTTTCCATCGTACCAGTCTTTCCCACGCTTTCTCAGCTCGAGACCCAAATTAGAAATCTGCTTCCTCCATGGGAGTGAAACCGCAACTAAATTACATCATGTTTTGCCACAACGTCGACATATAGACTGATAGAGCACATGACCGCGTGAATTCATTCCACTAAATGACGACTCGCTGACATTTGGGAAGCCATGAGACAATTTGCTATTTGTAATGCAAGTGTAGTTGGTATCTGAACTTAAAAATCAGAGAACCAATCCATAATATAAACCTTACTTATGCAAATCAAATCAATTCAACTTTATTTACGGGGTTACTCAGATTATGTTGATCCCAACTTCCGAGGTTTGTTGCCTTCCCTGTTTTTATTCACACCAGGCATTCTGTGGCATGCGTGGGCACACTTGACATCTGAAGTCCAGTTTGTTTTTAAACGGCGCAGGGCTGGTTAAGATAATCTTGCATCATAGAAATGCAGGAGAATGATTTGAAATCCATACAGGAAATTTGCAGTTATACAGCAAAGTAGAATTGAAACGTTTTCCAAGAGGTCATCTGATATGCCGCAGGAAATTATCCAACTTCACTTCCTAGATATATGGTATTATAAACAATGCGAGGCTGGCAGGTTGAACACACGATCATGCCTTTCTAGCGAATGCCAAGAGGACTTAAAACCTTACACTGGTTTGGGCCCTTGCCTATTTTGTTTTACCGGGGCCGGTGTTGGCGGTCGCCGCATTTCTGCTGAGTACAGCACGAGTGTGAAGAGCAAATATGAAGCCAAGCAGCATCCCACTGAGTTCTGCACTCCGACTAGCAAACAAGGAGGGAAGTAGGAGGGCTGAACGGGTAATGTTCAAGGCGGGCAAAAAAATAAGAATGTCAGTCTTGATCATAACCATATGCTGGCTTGCTATTTTCCCCGAAAGTGAAAAGTAATTAGGGAGAGGACCTTTTGGAATACTTAAAAAAAAAAGCAAATTCATAAATTAACTCCTTGAATGAGCAGTGAACAAAAGTGAGGGCTTGCCAGGCAGCACATCTGCAAAATCTTTTTTTTTTTCTGTTTGAATGTCAGGAAAGAGACAGGGCAGGGCCTGAGGCAGAGGAAGTGATCTGCTCTTTCACACCCCGCTGTGGTGAAGTTCAGCTCCCGACTACGGCTTCTGTCATCTGGAATGTGGAGTCACCTCCTTCGTCGACGCTACGCTCCAAAGAGGTCGTTCTCTTCCTGTCTTCAACCGCCACCCCCTCTCGCCTCCTGCCTGCTCTGCCAGCACGCTGTTGAACCACTGGACGACCCGCCAGTGAGGACGGGACACTTGTGACACACGCCGGCATTAAAAGCGAGATCCGAGGAGGAAGCCACATCTGACCAAACTGTATCCAAATGGAATCTGGCTCTGGAAAACGAGGAGTACAGTCATCTGTTGAACATTTTGGAGGCTGTTCCTATTCCCTTATATGGCAACGGAGCTGGGAAATCATTTGAATTAGTCTGGATTCTAGTTGTATGCCTGCCCGTCTGCTTTTAGTGCTGACCGAGTTGCATCTGGGACGGGTCTGCCGTTGCTCTTTTCTTGGGGAGAGTGTGAGCGCTTTCTGTCTGTCTGTGTGTACGAGGCCTGGTTTGTTTGTTTTGCCATTCTTGGTGCTTCTTTTCCTGTTTGCAAATGGGAGATTTTGTTTTGGGACAACAAGAGGAGGGCCTGTGTTTGTGGTTGGCAGTTTCTGCTGCTTTTCCCTCGTCCTCGCGACTGGAATAGGCAAACACACACCTGGCAGCCAAGAAGCAGAACAGCCTCTATGCAAGAACGACTGGAGCTCCATCTGAACATCCATCTTGGGTTTATATTTCATTTTTTTGCCCCCCATTTTCCATGCGGCCAATGCTTTTGGGAGCAAACAGAGACCCGGGAAGAACTTGTTACTCTCGATTGGATTGACGCGATCCCAGGGTGATAGACTTTGAGGACGGTTTACAGCCGATACTCCTCTCCTCATGTGGATTTTCCTCCGTAGACTGACTCTCAACATTGGTTGCCATGGCGACGGCAGCATGGTATCACCGTGACATCAGCCGCGTGCACGCAGAGGACTTGCTGGCACGAGCCGGGAGAGATGGAAGCTTCCTGGTCAGAGACAGTGAATCTGTGCCGGAAGCCTATGCCCTGTGCCTCCTGTGAGTACATCGCACACTTAGAATCACCTGAACAGGCGCCCCCTAAAATGATGCACAGGTATATGACGACGTTGCATCGCATATTGTCGTTAGTGTATCTAGCTTGATGTGATGTGGCTCAGAAGATTGGCTCTATTTTTAGACGGTTGTAACAGGCAAAATCCGAAACGTAAACAATTTACCCAAAATGCTATGTGTGAGCAAACTGTGGTTAGACAAAATGAAAGGTGGACTCACTCACAATTTGTCGACTGCGATGAAACCACAACTTAATTACGTACTGTATGTAGTACATGGAATTCTCTCACATTACATATCCAGTGCAGAAAAAAAAAGTTTCTCAATGGTGTGATAGTGTTATCAAAAAGTGTTTCGACAATGAACCCAGCCTATTCACAAAATCACTAATTTGCTCTCTCAGCTCTTTGCTGGAAAATAAAAATCACAAATTTGCAAGCATTCAAGTGTATTTTTGTACTTTTTTTTTTTTTTTTTTTTTTTTTTTTTTTTTTTTTTTAAATGCCCTAAATCTACAAGATGCCACTCAAGCCCTGGCTATGGAAAGTAGTAATTCTTGTCGAGGAATTATGTTGAAGTTATACATAACAACCATTTAACATCTTAGTATGATAGGGAGGGATTAAGTTTATCCTTGGTTGTGTGTTTTTGTTCAGCTATAAAAACGTTCAAACTCACATGAGATCATTGTTTGTGTTATATCAATGTGATTATTCGGCAATTAGAATCATTTGGAAATCATTTTACAAACTTTAAATGACTCATATTTTTTTTGGGGGGGGGGCGGTCGGGCTCGGTCCCAATACGCCCGGTTTAATGTATTTGTTAGTTTTGAAGCATGACCAGAGGGTACAAATTCCAGTTCAAACACCTATGTTTACAAAGTCACGGTCTTCGGTCAATGAGTGACATTATCCCAGGTTGAGGTTGGCTCTTGAAGTTGAGCGGTCTTGAGATGGCGCTAACTAGCTAAAACAACTCGCCTGAATTGCGACTGTGACTCAAGTGCGACTCCAGGCAAAATGGTGCTATTGTGTCAGGGACGAAAAAGATCTTAGAAATGTACGTTTTGAAAAACGTTTCCAAAATGTTGGTATACTTTGTCATTCATTCCAATCAAAACGCCTATGTTAGCGCAGGTGAGGTTGACTTGCTAACTGAACTGTGTGTTTACCTTGCGCCATTTACTTTTCATTATAGTCTATGTTGAAGTGAGTTCATCTTGCATTTTTCAAGTACTGTATACAGTTACACTTACTTTCGGTGTTGCAATTATGGAAAATAATACTTGTCGTCTTTGGTACATGCAAACATTCAGATTAGCCTGATAATTAGCAAAGTCAACATAGGTCTAATGTTCAGGTGAAAGAAATGCAATAATCTACTTGTATATACACCAAAATGTTTTCTTCATTCGGGTTAACTAGTATTATTCTGCTGAACCTGACATTCACAGATTTTTGGCTACATGACATGACCCACATAAAACTGCCCTACTTTAAAAAAGGAGCTCGTTCACTTGTAAAACTGTCAAGATTTTAAACCAGTTATACACCGACCCGAATTACAAAATAATTCGGAGACTTCACTCATATGACAACAGCAAGACCGTCACTGCCAACGTCAGACGCTTTTCAACGCTGGCAAAAGATTCCTCTTTTCCCATCATACTGCTTCTTTCTTCCCTCGGGCCCCTTGGAGGAGGGCGGGAGCTCCATTGACCACACTATGCTGACTGGTCCTCAGCCTACGCCAGACGCATTCCTGAAAACTGAGCCGGTCCGCCTGTACCGCTCCCTTGTCTCCCCCCCGACCCCCCTTTCCCCTTGTATTCTCTCATTTTACTAAATTGGGGGATTGAATCACCCCAAAGAAATGTAATCGTACAGATCTGCCAGGAAGATTAGCATTTAACAATGTGTTTGTGACTGTAGTGGTAGTTTCCAGTGGTGTGGAACTCCATTGCGTCATACTGAATGGAGATGACTTCACTTATGTAGCTAACTAAGGCCACCCATACATTTCAGACATGGCTTTCATGATACCATATTAAAAAAAAACAACAACAACATCAGGTGTTGATACTGTTGTTATTTGACGTCCAAATAAAATAGATTAATATCCATTCCCTACCTGCAAACGACATCCATAATAATAAAGTCGTTAATGACTGACTGTGTCAATCAAACCCGAGCATGATTTATAGACAGCATTTTTGTTCTACACTGATTCCTGTTTATCGTGGAGGGTACTTTCAAGAGTTACCAGCAAGTGGTGAAACTCCACGGTATACAACAGAGAGACCATATACAGTTACCTTAATAGGATAAATTGCCAATGCAATTTTTAACTTACTGTCACAATATTCATCCATCCATCCATTTTCTGACTGAATCGAGGCTATTGTTTCCCGAAAATGTTTATTAAAAATGACTCGGCAATAACCTTAATATGCTAGCGATATTAGACATCTATTATATCTTTATCTTGACCCCTTCCACATGGACACACTTAAACTTCTTCAAACGAACATTTGAAAGTATTGCTGGGTGCCTGTTTTCACTCTGAAGAGGCAAAGCGTGCACGCCGTTTATTTGGCACTCTACTAAAAACCCACTTGCTAAATGCTAACAAATAATATGAAACACCATAGACGGGCTTAGGGTTAGCATAGCTAAATTAGCATAGCTGTCACAGGAATACTCAACCTTCACACAACTGCTACTTTAGTGCACACAGATCAGCGACACACACAGAGCACATTTGCCCTTGTTTTTTTTCGATTAGTCTCCTTTGTTTTTTCACTGCTTCATGTCATCTGGTCCTAATTGTTTGTCTTTGTTTTGTTCTTCTCTAGGTTCCAACGCCATGTTCATACATATCGCATCCTCCCCGATGGCGATGGCCTCCTTGCGGTCCAGGTGGGTGACATCTTTTGCCTCGCTCTCATGATTTCTCCACCCCCAGCGTACTTGACCCTCGGTGTCAAAAGTGGGCCAAATAAGAAAACAAATGTTCTCATCACACAATGGTCTGTTACGCCTTTTGTAAGGAGAACAGGGAACACGTTTGTGTTTCATTTCTGTGTGGCCTCGCAGTAGCTCCGTTGTTCCAACGGCATCTCCGCTGCGTGGCCGCATGCTTGTCGGATGAGCTCAGCAGCTCAGTGAAGACTTGTTTTCATGTGTCACAGATTCTACCCCACACGAGGTCAATGACTGGTGGGTGTATGTGCTTATGGATTGTTGTTGTTATACAGCACTGTGCACACGTGTGACATAATAAGCCTCTTGGTGAATTCTGAGGCTTTTGTCCGAAAATAACCCTTTTACAGACCACCACATTTTGAAGAAAATCCCTGGCAGTCATTTCTCTGACGACCGAAAACTCGGTTGCTCCTTCACTTTTTCCATTGCTATTGATACAAAGCTCCCAGACACATTTTTTTTTCTCCCTCTCCCTGATTTTGCTCCTTTAACTCGCAAGTCGCATGCTTTCCTTTTTTTTTCTTTTTTTTTTCTTTCCCCCCCAAGTGATCGACTGAGATATTTTGGGCCCGGTCTCGTATTACACTTCAAATCTGTTTTCATTGTGTTTCAACAGATCTTTGTGGTCCAAAATACTATTTGTAGCCAGACCGCTCAGACCAAAGATCAATTTCTTTTCGCAACTTAAAAGAGAGCAGATGAAAAAAAATGGTCTGCTATTATGGTTTCATTTACTGACTTTGTTCAACTGACTTAGTGTTGCAATTCCACATTTACCAGAATTAAAAGTTGCATTTACAATAGCTGCTCTATAGCAACACAGTGTACAAATGGTTTGCACTTTTGCTTCACAGTCAGTAGGTCCCAGGTTTGAATCGCAACACGTTTTCCCCTTTCCTTGAGTGTGTTTTTTTCAGGGTTTCTCTCACATTCCATATACATTCACTTTAGGCTCAATGAAGACTCTTAACTGCTCGGTATGAATGTGAGTGTGAATGGTTCTTTGTCTATATAGCGGTAGTAAGATGTCCTGGCATTGGCTGGTGACTGGTCCAAAGTCAGCTGGGTTAGACTCCAGCTCACCTGCGACCTTAATGAGGACAAGCGATAGAAAATAGATGCATGGATAGTATCACAATTAATTGTGTCTGCACATAAGTACAATGTGACTTAAAAAAAACGAAAGATAATTCATGACAAGTTTGTCTGTCAGCAGACCACACAAGGAGTGCAGGTCAACTGTTTCCGGACACTGGAGGACCTCGTTATGGGATACCAACACCCGCATAAAGGCTTGGTCAGCCCTTTGCTTTACCCGGTGCCCCGTGACGCCGACACCGGGGATGAGAGCTCAGGTTGGTACTTGAGATTTAAACGTCCCGCCGCTGCTTCAATCAATATCGTATAATACAGACCCAATCGACAAAATGAAATGTTGACACGCATAATGTTATAGTTCCATTGTAATGTTGAAAGAAATTACAGGCGTCCAAATAATTAAATGTAGTACAGACAGTAAATGATTCCAATTTCTCATGTGTATGTGTGCGCAGATGATGAGAAAACACCTCCAAGTGTCGTCCCTGTCAACACGGTCACCTTCACGACAGCTCCGGCAAAACCAGACCCCCATACTTTATTCCTGAATAAGTTACAGGAACTCAACACATCCAGGTATGCTCCGTCCCCACCTCCCCCATGTTGTTTCTTTACTTTAGTGTGTGTAATATGAAATGGAATTGTATGAGATGCAGTATAGTTTCAAAATAACATTTGTTTTTCATACGTGCAAAAACAAAAAAAAAAACTCTGATACTTGGCAAAAAACTATCACACACAAAAAAAAAAAAAAAACTCCAAGCGCAACAAGAAAAAGTCACTCACATGGAAAAAATAAACCATCTCACTCACCAAAAACATCTCCTGCATGTCCAAAAACCTCACTGGTAGCCCCAAACCCTCCCACAACAACAAAAGAAAAACATCTCATGCACACCAAAAAAACATCCCACATACACCAAAAATAAATCTCACTCATGACCCCTACCTCAAAAAAAATTCACCCACACAACACCAAAATCTCTCTTTGCACCCAAAAAAATTCCTTCCTCATACAAAAAAAAAACACTGACACACACGACCCAAAATAAACTCTCACTCACACCCCCAAAAAATCGCATGCGCATCAAAATTCTCCCACGGACATTAAAAACAACGTTCTTTTTCTCACCATGACCCTTCTGGCTAAAACAAACAAAAACAAAAAGACCCGCATAGAGGGGAAAAAAGCAATCTCTGTGAGAGGTAATTGTTATTTTTGGCCAATACGGCGCCTCATAGAAGAGCATAATGTCACACACATTGTGTAACATCTCTCGCCATGTTTTCCAGTACTGCCAGTGATGTGATCAGACTTCTCAACGACTATCTCTTCAGCCAGCTGCCCCTGGACATTGAGGACGTGCATAAAGGGGCGACCAGCCTCTCCCACCTCAAGCGGACTCTGGGTGTTGCCTGCCAGGGCCTTAACAGGTCAGCGTTTGTTGCATATAAATACGTGACAGCAAGAAAACACACTTTAACTGGAAATGCCACACACTGGTTTTACTGTTAACTTTTGTTTTTTGTATATATACGAGGACACATTTACCAAAGAGGTGTACGAGATCTTGTACCCCTGCAAAGACAATCATGTTCAGTTTCATTGGCACTGACATGCAGGTGCTGACTTAACAACACGGTTCATCTGGAAAGTATTTACAGAGCTTCACTTTTTTTTGCCATTTTATTACATTACAAAATTGTTTCAACACATTTTTTTCCACTCAAAGTTCTACACACATGATATCTTAGTTTTTATTTTTGATACATGTGCGATTAAAAAAAAATCATGTTGTCATTTTGGGGTGTTATGTGTAGAAATAATTTATTTCATTTTACAGTGAGGTTGTAACTTGTAAAATGTGAAAAAGTGAAGATGCACCGCGTTATTATTATTGTCGTAGTAATACTGGTAATAACATGGGTCTGATCCGCAGTGAGATTGACCTAACTCTTTCGAGTCTGGAAACCCTGGCCAAGGTTTTTGACCATCCAAGCTGCTCTTTATCATACACAAATTCCCAGGTACAGTATAATAACCCATCCCAGAGTCTGACTTTTTGCCATTTTGGGACTTTTCTGTCTGACTAACTGTGATGTCTGCATCTAACAAGGGTCCCGAGATGGAAATGGACGCCTTACTGTGTAAGATTTCTGCATTGGTCAGCCTCCTTTCGTCTTTGGAGAAAAAGGTTTCCTCTTTTGATGTGTTACCACTGACGGACAACAAAAATAACATAATTGCTAACGACGTTGAATCAAACCACGGACTTTTTGTGGTTGTGCGAAGGTACTCAAGGCTCTCCAAGATGCAGTCACCAATCACAATCTGGCTGTGCAGCCAAATCCGCCTCCTGCGGAACCAACGCCCTCCGTTCCGACTTCGACCAAGAGCCACGGATGTCGTCAACTGCCAGTCCACTCCTTTCAGGTAACCTGCACAAGCATTTTGTTTATGTACATGATGAATACTCAATATTCTTGATATCCTGGTTAGGGTCCATGTACTGGTAAGCTCTTGTCCTCACCAGTCCAGCTGGACAATTCAGCCGAGTAGTAGAATGACTGTGTCTTTCTTAATGTGTCTTACTTAAGGTTTAAATCCTCTACTAGTGCCACTTTTAGCCTACTAGAATGCAGTTAAACCTTACTAGTAAGCTTCGCTACTCTACTAACACCGTTAGGAAGGCATGTGTCACACACTCGTCGCCTCCTTATCAATGAAATGGAATAAATGGCCAAAAGGTCCTTTGAGCACTGAACTGATTTCCATCTTAAGTCCAAGTACAGGTACACTCTTTGACCTCACCAATAGGAGAACCTGTGCTTACTAGTAGGACAAATGTATGTTACGAGTGAGGCAAAACCGTGTGCCCGATGACAACTGTCTGTGACCAATATTACTAGTGACATTATAAACTAGATACATCACCCTTAAGATGGATACCAAAGATATAAAATAAATGCTCAAATGGTTTTCTGTAAAAACCCTTTTAGAAGGCTACTAGTAAATGCCTCCTAGTTGGACCAAGTTCCGTTCCTTGTGCCGCACAGTAGTTTACTCATAAGGTTTAATTGTGTACTAGTAAGCCAGAAGTGCCACTAGTACTAAAATCACTATTAATAATGCACAGTCATTCGATATTCATGTGCTGAATTTTGTTACTCGTGAGGAGAAAAAAGGCACGAGTGTGTGTAGCCCTTAAGCTGGATATCAAATAAATACTCAAACAGCTTTCCCGAGCCACAGCAATTCCCAACACAAGGGCTGTTGTGTGCTCAGCAGCTTAACTGTGTCGCTCAGCGTCATTTTCAAGTGTGAGGAGGCTGCATGAAGCTGCAGCGTTGACAGCTTGATTGGCAGCAAAAAAGATGCTTGTGCAAATAAGCAGAAGAAGCAGATCTGGCATTTGTTGGTCTCTATTTAAGACTGTTATAAACATTATTAAACAAGTATGGCAAAGAAATACTGATATCATACAGCATTCCCTTTGGATGCCCATTATGTTTTCGGTTTCAATTGTAAATAAGCTTAAATAATGGCAAATGTAAAATTAGCTTTTGTAGAAAAATCAATTTGTTTTTGTGCTACCGCAGATACTAAAACATAAAGTATAAAAGTACAGATATTTGCAAACACTCCTAACACTATTCACTAAATGAATAAAAATATGGTAGCTCGATGAAGAAATGTTTGTCGGTATTTAGTTTTGCCATTAAATAAATTTACTGTTATTGTCTTTAATTCAACTCATTAGACTTGCATCGATGTCCATAAACACCCAAATCAAAATTAAATACATAAATCGGTTATGGCTTGCCAAAGAATTGATATAATTTTTGTCGTGAACCCAATCCAGTAGAATAGGGACCGGGCCAACTGTGACTCGTGAAAATTGTGAAACATTGTTGCCCATTACCCCTCCCTAAAAGGAGTTTGGAGTTGTGTATAGATCCCACAAGATGTCAGCAAAGCACATAAAATGAAGAGGATCATACCCGCCTAAACAACCCAGGTCATGCATGCAGCATGTAACATAGCCATGAACCCACGTTACATAAAGGACTGTATTCATTAAATGGCCAACGAAACGGAATCTCAAAAGCTGATGAAAAAAAAAACCACATTCACTGAATGACTACAAACTGACTAACAACATACCAAACTGTTTCACTGCATCAAGAAATGTGTTTGTGTTTCCAGGTAAAGATGCTGCGCTATGGCAGGCAGACCGTCTCTGTGGATGTGAATGCAGGTGTGCTCCTGTTTGACAGGAAGGCCTCCTCATTCGATATAGAGCGGGTCTCGCATGACAGAGGTAAGCTGTCATTGTGTGCTCATGTGGAATGAGGGTGCTTTGATCGCTCATCGAATGGCTTTTGTCCTTTTGTGCGTCAGTCCTCCAGGTTGTCAAGTACCAGAGTAGTCCCACCAAAGTACGCGTAGTCATCGACAGCCACCATAATGCCCCACGGGAGATGATATTTGAGAGTACACGGGTAAATATTACTTGACTATGTATTACAGTACTTTATTTATTTTCTCTTACTAACATAGACCATGAAAATCTTCCTACAGCCTTACATACCGTAACTTGAAACCCTGATCCTGTCTTCAAATCCATATTTGAAACCCTAACCCCATTCCTGCAGTTTTTAGTGAAATTGCAGATCGCTGAATTCTCAGTTTCATTATTCTTGGGAGAACTCATTTTCGTTTAAAACCCACAATTCAATTTTCTCTTTCAGAAGGGCAATGCCTTCTGCCAACTCATCCAGCTGATGAAAACAAGGCACTCCGAGCTGAGTGAACCTGACGTCATCTCTGTTTTTGTCGGCACCTGGAATATGGGTAAATCCCTGGCCTCTTCTCACTACATACAGCCTCGATTTAAGAGGCGTCGTCATCTGGGTTGTTTATTGTACTGTTTTGCGTCCGCAGGCGGTTTCCCTCCTCCTCGCAGCCTGCAGTCGTGGGTCACCTGCTGCGGTTTGGGGCACACCCCCGACGAATCTACGGCGTCACTGCCTCATGACATTTATGCCTTGGGCACGCAGGAAAACCCTCAGGGGGAGAAGGAATGGGCGGAACATATTAAAGCGACTCTCCGGAGCTACACACAGATTGACTTCAAACAAGTATGTCATATTTTTCCCTTTTTTTTTCCTGACATACCAAAGTCAATTTACCATACTTTGCATTCACATGCTGTTTTTATTTTAGTGTGCAATAATCACGCAAGCTAATGCTACAATTTAGACTGATAGCAATATTCACACGTAAAGTTGAGTATACCTGTACTGTACACAAATATTCATCATGTATTACCCACCAACACTTCGGTTTGAATCCGCTGCAAGCCAATCTTGGCACTGGCTGTAATGCGGTAATTTTTCCTGTAGGTGGCAGTGCAGTCCCTCTGGAACATGCGCCTGGTTGTGTTCGTCCAGCCGCAGCACGAGAATCGCATCAGCCATGTGAGCACTGCCAGTGTGAAGACTGGGCTGGGTAACACTCTGGGTAAACTCCTTAGCGCCACTAATTCACATTTACACAACATGGCAGACAATGAATACGAAAGTGAAAGTTTTTGATTTGTGATAGGGAACAAAGGAGCGGTCGGTGTGTCATTTCACTTCAATGGAACGTCGTTTGGGTTCGTCAACTGCCACCTGACGTCCGGAAGTGATAAAGTTCTGAGGTACGTTCGTGAATCTGACCCTTCGTGAGTGAAAAACAAATTGTGAAAAAAGTGTGCTAACACTGGAGCATGAATTCCAAAGTTTAGGGAAGATCACATTAAGTTCACCTTTCAGGGTTAGACTAGAGTGAACTTCAGGTTCATCCTAAAATTTCACAGCTGAAAGTCTCATACTCGTATTCACCTTTCCATCTAAGCTTGGCCATATTTTTCAGGCGGAACCAGAACTTTGTGGACATCCTCAGGCTGCTTTCACTAGGGGACAAACACCTTGGCGCCTTCGACATCAGCCTGCGATTCACTCACCTCTTCTGGTGCGGAGATCTTAACTACAGACTGGACCTTGACGTACAGGTGCGGCTGATATCTCTGCATACATCAACCATGCCGACACAAATTCTGCGTATTTTAAACTGCTCAGCTCTGACTGATTTGCCTATAATGTCTCGGTCCCGTAAAGCACCATAATTGCAGACAGTGACACTTTTTCACCTGCAGGACATTCTGAAGCATGTATCTAAGAGGGAGTTTGAGGAGCTCATGTGTGCGGACCAGCTGACCCGAGAGAGGCACAAGAGGAAAGGCTTTCTTTATTTTAGTGAGTTGCACTTTTATGTAGCCAAAACTGTACTTTGGAATTGAGCAAACACAACATGTCACCTCCTTCATGATTGCACGCTGTAAATTGAACTGGATTTGCACAAAATCCGATTGTTTTACCCAAAATTATGCTGCAAGAAAAAAAATCCCTGTTAGTCCAGATTAACCAAATTTACAAATGCTATAGAAGATTGTATGATGGGTAATTCCGGTGGAAAAAAGAGGCAAAACTTTGTCACACACATTGTATTGAATTGTTACCTGAATTAAATCTTTACATTGTATATTCCTTTCCTCTGTTTCTACATTTATCATTCTTTTTTAAGAGGAAGAGAAGATTGCATTTCCACCCACCTATCGGTACGAAAGAGGCTCTCGAGACTGCTACCTGTGGCAAAAGTACAAGACTTCAGGGGTGAGCAAGCGGAGTTCAGCTAAATAAATATTCCACTTAAAGAATTCTTAGGGACAACTAAAAGTGTCCCCGCTAAAAACTTGTTAAACTACTTTACACACATTGCAAGCATATCACGAACTCGCTTCTCCAAGTATTTTATGTGAAACATAATCCCAGCGAGGGGACCTAAAGTGAACGACAGCTGCCACGCCTTCTAAAAATAGCATTTAAATTAGTTCAAACAGAAATCCGTGGCATAGTTGACAATAACTTTCATTGCCATACTGCTAAGTAAACGCAACCGACACGTGCACTTCCTTTCTCGACTTGCTCACCAATTCTTTTTCCCGTAGGTGCGAGTCAATGTTCCGTCATGGTGTGACAGGATTTTGTGGAAGTCCTACCCTGACACGCATGTCATGTGCACGGCTTATGGTAAGAATGAGAGGATTTGAAGATGGGCGACATCACTTTAGTGGAGTGATAACAAATCTATGAGATCAAAAAGTGGGTCGGGAAAAAAAAAAATCTGTTGTCTCCTATCAGGGTGCACAGACGACATTTTCACCAGTGACCACTCACCTGTTTTTGCCACTTTCCAAGTGGGCGTGACGTCTCATTTCAGCTGCAAAGCAGGTATACTGTTGGAAGACTTTTCACACATGGTTGGAATTCCAGCAGCTCTCCTCATCATGTCAACAGTTTTGCCTTTCATGTCAAACAGATCCAGGTGCGGGCGTGGAGAGGGCCTGGATTGAGCTGGAAGGCATCGAGGCCATCGTGAAGACGGCCAGTAAAGAAAAGTTCTTCATTGACTTTTCTTCATCTTGTCTCGAAGGTACGTTGCGATTTAAAAATGTGCGATATAAAACAGTGATTTTGAAACATTTTGGAACCCCTGATGTTGACCGGGGATAGGGACTGAGCCTTTTTGGTATTCTGCAGCGGGGCTCGGTCCCCATCTCTGTTCACTGCACGCATTTGAAAAGAACGATATGGCATGATGTGTTGCAAATGTTTTTGCGGACCCTCAAGCCAGAGCTTGCTGGTCCCCGGGTGACATGACGTCACTCTGGCAGCTATTTATTAACATGCAGTTTCCCTTCCCAGAGACACGGCGTTCAAGTGAAAATGACTCGCAAAGCTGTGACGTCCCCGGCTTTCTCAAACTGGCCTGGTCCTTCAAACAGCTGCCCAAGGTCAGCGGCTCTCAGACGCCAGCATGCCTGTTTGTGGCTGTTAATGCCGCCGTTAACCACCGCGTGACTCGTCTCTCTTCGTGTTAGCTGCTTCCGCACAGGTCTGACATGGACTACCTTCAGGATCAGCACCTGCTGTTGTCTGTCAAGTCATGTGATGGTTTCGAATCGTATGGTAAAGTTATGTTTTTCTTCATAACGTGCAAGCCGTTTTGTGTTGCTGGAAGAATGTGATACTAAAATAGAATGTTTTGCAACCTTTATTGAGCCAATATGTATTACATAAGAAGAGTCCAATGGCACCCCACCGAACAAAAATATCTATATGACATCTTGACAATCTGATCTCAATTTATCTCACAAGTGCAACGTGTATCTTGCCTTCAGAGAGTCTACTGGCAGGGTCACTATCGAGTGCCTCATTGTCAGCCGCAAGTGCATGCATGTCACGCTTAGAAAGGTGGAAGCGCCGACTTGACAGCCGTGTGTGTACTTGGACTTTGGGCTGGTGTGGCACCTTTTGGAGTGCCTTGTTGTTAACCCTGAGTGCCCTGGCTGAGTGTGCCCATATCATGGTGAAAAAAGCGGAAATGCTAGGAGGAGTGAAAAAAATGTGCCATAGCATTTTACTTCAATTGCTTCAAACATGATTAATCAACAAACAATTCCAAAGAATTGATCAATTTCCTGAATAATCCGTTACTATGATGATCTATAGGTGTTATTGTACCTTAAAATTAGCCCGTGTGAGCTGACATTTTGTTCCTGCAGGCGAATGCTGTGTGGCTCTTCGCTCCCTTGTCGGTGCATCCGAGCAATTTGAGACATTCCTGAGCCACCGCGGTGAGGAAATCGGCTCCATCAGAGGACGCGTACGCCTTCACGTGCCCAAGGACCTACGAGGAACCCGTGAGAAGACCTACGGTAGGTCCGACGGAACATTTCCCCTCCCTGCACCCTCTGCCCTCCTTGCACTCTCTCTTCCCTCTCAGCTTTCACCTCCACTGGCACCGCGTTTTCCGGTCTCTCCTGTCAGTCTCACATTGCTTCCTCTATTTGGTTCCTCAATGACCCCCTCCCTCCCCCGCTGGCTTGGCTTTGCACTTCCGCTTCCTCTTTTGGCTCCCGATTGACTGACCCTGACCAGATGCATCCTGAAACTGTGAAATGGGACACGTGGGCCCGATGCCTCCAGGTCAGCGCACTTCTCTCAACTCTACTATGCTGTCATGCTATACGTTCTCAAACCGAAAGTGTCTTGCACACACAATGTGGAAGCGGATTTTGAAACACAATGACTGATTTTGTCACTTGATGGCATTTGGCTTTTTCAGAGTGGTTTCGTTTTGAGAAAGATGAGAAAGGTCCCGGCAGGGGACACATGTCTCCTGCGTCCACACGAATCCAAATAAATAGGTGAGGATTTATGTTGTCATTCTGTGTCCAGCGGTAAGTTTTTGCAGGAAAGAGCATCAGTCCTTTGCTATTTATACAACGTCGAGCAACGACCTGAACAACTTTTCTACTACTGTATTTGGATCTGCATCAAAACGTAATCGTTTTCTTTTGGACCCATGCCACACCACAAATCTTCATTGAAATCACTTAAATCAGGTGAGACAAGACAAAAATGCTCTTAAACCATCCATATTCATAATCTGAATGATCTTTAATGGCAAAGTATGTTGAAACACACAAGGAACTCGTCTCCATTAGTTGGAGCCACTCGACCAAGAGCAAACAAGCCATTATAGCAAAGTCTAATTTTAGGACAAAGACATGATACAGTACAAAGTCATGAACTCATTCACTCCCAGAGACGTTTTTAAACGTCTTTTCAGACTTGGTCTAGAATTGGCTGGTACTGAATGAGTTAAGCAACAAGAAGTATCCTGTAGTTTCGTGAGGTTTATAAAATTATGTATTACACAATACTTAATGTAATTTTTTTAAAAATCTTGCATTCAGCAAATTGTATATGTACTGAAAATATATATGTAAAAAAAATTAATACAACCTAACCAAAACAAAACCCTAATCAAAACAAACAATCCCGTTTTAAGGACTTATTGAAATTAACTGAATAAAAAAGAAAAAAAATGAGTCAAAATTAAATAAAACTTAACAATAATGAAAGCGTCATTGCACCACCCTTTTAAATTGAATGGTCGGACATGAGTGAACAATAGGTGCTAAGCTTGCCAGATTTATTTTTTCTTTGTTTTTTCCTGTCCAAAAACCTCCAAAGGAATCCAAACCCATGTTAGGAAGGAAGTAATAACTTCCACTGAAAAGAAAGCAAGTTGACTTGAGTACTCACGTTTTGCAGGTCCTTGGCAGCGACTCCCAAGCCAACGCCAAGCAGCTACACCAACCCGGCCTACTTCATCTTCGAGGGCGTGTCGGTGGTCCGCGGGGAGGCTCTTCCACAACGAAGTGACCCGCAGGTGATCTGGGCCGGGAACGAGGCTCTGCAGCTTCCCAAAATCTCAGGGAGGCACATCGACAGCACGAGACCTTGTCGACGATCGGACTTTACCGAGATTGAAATTCCCGCCGTGCTTCCCCAGTACGCTGCATCCACTCAACTTCAAACGCCTCAACCCAACTCCTCTTATGAGCTTTTCCCCGCCAAAAAGCCTTCTCCCATATCTCCGCCCTCCAGTAAAAGCATCTCCCAGTGTAAGGACCACTTGTCAAAGCCTAAATACCACGCCAAAAACATTTGCCATGAGTCCGTATTACCAGAGAAGAACCTCAGGAATCTGTACATGAATCAGTCCGCGATCACGCGGCAAAAAGCCAGGAGGGACCTCCCGGAAAGGACCGATCCCATCAGGAAAACCAAAGCCCCGCCCGTTTTCCAATTCACCCCTGTTCCCGTTCCTTTGGGACACTGCCGGCCTGCTCCTTGGGTGGCGGAACAGCAGCAGCTGCAGCCCCCCGGGCGGACGGGAGACAACTCCCTCACGGCTCTGCAGATTGCCAAAACACTCAGTGAGGTTGACTTTTTCCACTCAAAGCAAGGTACTCTGTCCTATCCGGGCCAGAGGCCAGCCTACAGGAATGGTCCTGCGTTGCACATGGAGAGGCGCCAAAGTTGGGAGAATGAGGTACCACTGTATTTCTTTTATTTTGACTTGGGCCAAAAATATATATTTTTAAAATCTGCCAGTCACCTGTTTGACACTCATACATAGGTGATTAATCCTTCAATACTTTTTTTTTTTTTTTGGGAGGAGGGCAATATTAGTAGTTTTAATATTTAGTATGTATGATTGATCATTCTTTTTGGGTTTCATTGGGGGTTGTTGGATTACATTTTTGGTGTTACTTGATTTTTACGTGTCTGCCGATACAAAGTTCAGAACCAAAAAACACCATTTGCATGTTACGTCATCACTCATTTGTGACATGAGGAATCGATAAGTACAATTTGTAGGGCTAAGGAACAAACGATTCAGAAGAATCAAATTCATTGGAACGGGTTGTCAAAAAGAACCACTTTTCCGTTCCCCTCTCAAACTTTGAAGCTCTTTATGAAAGGTTGTGAAATATCCGCATGAAAAAATTACATTTCGGCTGTTTTTATTGCTGACAAATGTCAAACCGGGTCCAGTTTGACCCGAGCAGTTTGTATAACTTCTTTAAGAAAAAAAAGAAAAAAGGAACAACACAGTTTCTGTTTCTCATCAATGCAGGTATCTGTGCTTCAAGGTGCTCCAGAGACCGTCTGCGAGCTCCTCAGTGCCCTGGGCCTTCAGAAATACACCCTGGGACTCAGCCTTAATGGCTGGGATGATCTGGATTACTTCAGGTAAACGCTTTTTCTCATCCAATGCTACTGTTACGCGATAGCCACGTTTACCAGTTACCACTAAGCCAGGTGTCGGCAACCCAAAATGTTAAAGGAGCCATATTGGACAAAAAAAACAAATATGTCTGGAACCGCAAAAAAAAAAAAAAAAACATATTAAACACCTCCCCCATCTTTTTCCATTTGAAAACATTTTTGAAATAGCTTCGGGGAGCCACTAGGGCGGCGCTAAAGAGCCGCATGCGATACAGTTCATAGATCATCAGATATTGATATTAGGAGGTGGGATTGAAGTTACACATGTGCAACTTATCCATGTCAAGGCTTGAACTTTGAGTTCCGAGCAAGTCAAAATGAGTCCCAACTGAATTTCAAGCAGTTTAGTTGAACAATTCATCAATCAATTCATACAAACTTGCTCGGTCTCAACAACCGTTCGCACAGCCGCCACTTTGCACTCAACATCCGTATTTGCTTTAGTTAACTGGACTGACACGGTGACAATCACATTTTTTAAAGGGCCCCAGGCTGACTCTATATCGACCTTTACTTCAATGTCAAGAAGCTTAGTTCAAGTTTGAGCACGTTAGTTTTTTTTTTTTACAGGCTGTTGCGTGGTCTTTTTGTCCCTTCTGGAATGATAGTCCAGGACAGTGCAGCACGAGGCCACTCCGTAGGCCCAAAATGTTGACCTCCCACCAGAAAACCTTTTACGCTCACCAAATTACGTATCGCTTTCCGATCACACACGCCATTTTTGACTGTCATTTAAGAAAAAAAAAAGGTTGCACGTACACCAAAAAAAAAAAAAAAAAACTCACACTGAAGAAGATTATCGTTTCCAAAGTGCCACAGTAGCATTTGTCCATTCCACAGCGGCATCACAGAAGACGATCTGCGTGCTGCAGGAGTTACCAACTCTTCCCACCGACGCAGGATCTTGGACAACCTGCCCAGGAACTGGAACTAACATACGCTCAATTAAAAAAAAAAAACATGGACAGGAAGAAAACATGTTTTTTGCCAAAAGAATGGTTTCATTTCGGCACTTCACTCGTGGCAATTGTGGAGCCAGCTTCAACTTTTCAGGGATTTTTGTCTTGACTTAATGTTAATGCTGCCATTCAGTGAACGTTTTGAGGTACACTAAGTAACATCTTGATTTTCGTGCGGAATCTCAGGATAATTTTCTTTTCGGGAACCGCTGTTCTATATCGAAGCAACAAGCCAAGGAAAAGACATCTGCTTCCCATACATTTTTCTTGCATTGCTCTACTTGTGTTCCTGGCTGACGACCATTTTGTGCTTTTTTTTTCTGGACGGCATCAGAAGTGGGTCGGATTTTGTTTCTCCCACTTTGTCATCAAAAATAGGCCACTTGTATCTTAGTTGATTCGGTCGGGAAAAAAAAAACAAAAAAACCCTCAAAATATAACCAAAAATATGGTGCAAGAATCAAAGAGGAATTCGGAATTTTATCGAAAACAGGTGGCACTTAAAAACAATTGTCTCATCTCTCCTGTCTCCCACTCTGTATCTTTCCACAGCGTTTTGACTTTTAGCTTTTGCAGTGTGTGTGAATCCTAATAAAAGGTTGCCATTGATAACAAGCCAGAGGAAAATGATAACAGCATTGATGCAACTCAGAAGGGAACTTACCACCACAATATAATTTTTTTTTTGTGTTGACAGTGACAAAGAACAAAGCCAAAATGTTACTTTAAGGATGACCTGGTGAAAGTTTTTGGGTAAATCTCACCCATCAACCATTGACTATATGTGCCACAAGTTGGCAGCAAAGCACTACTTATGTCTAAATGAAGCTCCTCGACTCATTTCAACATAGTTCCTTGTCACCAAGATACTGCGAGATGGTGTCAAAACTGTTTTTTTTTTTAATGCTTTGGCACAAAGTCAGCTGGGATGGGCTCCAGCACGCCCCGCAACACTTGTGAGGATAAGCAGATTTGAAAATGGATGGATGGAATTCCGTCTGATTCATTTTGTCTGCATAACCTGAAGGCAAGTGTTTACTTTTCATCCACTCTCCCCTCACCGAATCTACTTTCTGCTTCTGTTGAGCCTGGGTCCAACCTTGTAAAAAAGCCCACAAATAAAGCTCTATAGTGGTATCCAATCCATACAATACATACGTAGTCAAGTCGATTTCAGCTCCGTTTACCGTCTCGTACTTTTTCTATCATGTCACTTAATCAGCACTTGTGTCCGCTGTCTGTCCACAAGTAAAGTGCATTTGATGACCTTCTGCAAGCAATTCCATTTGTCTGTCTTTACAGTTGGCCAGTAAGGACAGAAGATAATGTTTCTTCCATTTGAGTGAGCAAAACACACAATCGCACAGCACCAGGCAACTCAATTTTCTTCAATTTTCTTGTCTCGATTGTATATATATATTTTTTTTGTGTGTTATTTTTTTGTCTGGCTGCAAAATAAGACGACACTACCGTTTCCCCACATTAACTCTCAACATATTCCCGGTGTGACAGTGACTGTGTGCATTTTGCTGCTGTAGTTACTGATTAAGGCACATCCAAACAAATCTTGTCTGTTTACTGACATCCAGCTGCTTTGTCCATGAAGTCATCACCTGGACGGGATTTTATTTTATTTGGCAGCACATACACTGAAGTGGAAAAACACATTACAAAAAAAATATTTCCTCACATCTCTGTTTTTGTGAACCAGTGCATCACTGTATACACTGAACAGACACTTGAGTAGGTACACTCGCACATCCTACAGCCTCCAATCTGTCTTTACATAGATAATAGAGCTCAATTTTGGTTGACCTTTATGCTTGTCGTCATCTCAGGTAGGTCAATGAGACACTTGAAGTCAGTTTGTGGTAACTTATTAAGAGGAGTCGTGAAACATTTATGTCTTTACGATCATACGTTACTGGCTCATGACTCGTGATGGGAACAAAGCAGGTGAAACCAAATGAACTGGCCCGCTAAGGATAATACTTTACAATAGACTTGAAAGACGGAAATGGTGCAGCTGTGCAAATGAATTACTCAACCCCTTTGGGAAGATTTCTGGACGTTCTTGAAAGACGAAGACCACAACAATGTAAGCTGTGTTTACGCTGTTGCATTCACGTTCCTTTTCAAGTAAATGACCTCTGGACATGATCCCAAAAAGATCTTTTCTTGCGTAGTTCCAATATGTCTGATTGCACTTGAACGCCTCTCCAGCAACTATTACATAATATATTTGCGGTTGTAGTTTACAGTGTACA